CTCGGGCTCGGGCAAAAACTCGGGCTTTTCGGGCGGTCGCGGGCGGCCCGTCCAAAGTTCCAGCACTAGTCACATCTAATTTTTTTGCTACAGTAAAAAGCTCTCACACAACATCACACCTCAACTCGAATTAGCGAACCGAACAGGCCCTATATTTCTTGACTTTGTTTCTCTATGAGAGTGTTTATTAGCTAGAACTAATTATGATGTTTAGCATCTATATTTTAAGGCATTGGAACGTGGAAGGAATGATATGAGTAGTTTCTTATTTGATGCATGGGCTCTTTTTTTTTTTTTTATTGACAATACTAGGTGGATATGAAAAACTCCACGTGTTCAAATTTTTGCCAAAACTTGGATATGTTTATTTCATAGGTTATTTATAAGTTTAAACACATGGTTTTAATTCTATTACAGTATCTTTTTTTCATAAAAAATTTAAATTTAAAAGTCATAATCAAAATCACTGGTTTGAACTATAAACTAAACGAGATTTTATTTATTTTTGCAATTTTTGACATTTTGACCGTTTTCTTTACTTTTGTTGCTTGATAAGTTATCGAATTACCCAGCAAATAGCACCTCTTTTTAAAAAAAAAATTATGAAAAAAAAAGAAAAGAATTTCTACCAGATTACATTCCCACGATAAATTGCTTTGGTTTACTTTGAATATTGCTCAATAGTATGATAGATTGCTGGTGTAATCTCTCAGATTACGTTCCGATGATTGGCGTCGGAGAAGACTCGTGATTTGTTTTGAAAAATTTTAAATAATCTAATAGTTTACTGGCAATAACACCTAGTAGATTATTCTCTAGTAACGAATAACAATCATTGGTCACTATTAATTATCGCAGACAAACAATCAAGAAATATAGTTAATTACCGATGATAATATAGTTAATTACCTTTCACTAGTGAGGCAATTCGGCAAAACACATTTGGTTGACTCTTTGACCAGTCCTCGGTGTGGTGGAAAATCAAAGCTAAATGCCACTTGTAACATTCACTAAGTTTACTCTTTTTTTCCCCTTTCTCATAGCCGTTTATATTTCTATAATTAATACTTGTTATGGTAGAAAGATAATTATTGTTTGAATGGCGATAGTTTGAATTTGTTGTCACAATATATAACATATAAAATCAAGCAAATTAGTCACAACGACATGTGTTGTCAAATTAAGAGGTGGCAATTATATATGAACGTATAGCTAGAGCCGAGGTTTAGCCCTCGTTTCAATGGCTGATGTATTTGACAATACATATAGGATTGACAATTCGTGTTTACGTATTGTGTTCGGATCGACACGATTACGGCACGACACGATTATAATAAACACAAACACGACACGATTAATAAATGTGTCAGAAACCTAAACATGAACCGCTAATAACACGGTTAACAAACATGACACGGGAACACGATTACTAAATGGCCCGTGACGGGTCGACACGAAAAAAATACATCTATGACCCGTTTATGACCTAATTAACAAAAATAATGGAATTTTATTTTGTTTTCAAAATTAATATTAATTGACTACTTAATATCACTTATAGTTAAAATCATGCGAGTATATAATAAGAAAAATATAAATCCTCCAATTCTCCATAATAATCAACACACATAAAATTATCCAAATATCAAACATATATATAGAAAAATGTCTTCTTTGAGATTGATAACATTTTCAATGGATTTTACTTGTAACATAACATACATATAGATGAAAAGTAAGACATGATATTTATTCAATGTAACATTAAAGCTGAGAAGGTATAAAATCAAGAAAGTTAGTTACCACAAACAATTATTACACTATAACACCGGTATTACATTGAAGAAATGTGCCACGTTCTGCTTATTACTTCTATATGTTACATAGAAAAACGGTTCTATCCGAAAGAATTGTCCACAAAGGGCAAAGAAATGAAACTAACTTGTCTAAAAAGAGGAAAGATATATTATTAATGAGACAGTCTGCTGAGAGAATATTGAGACATCTTGTAAAAAGCTAAGACTTTAGTGATAGCCATCATTAAACTCATTGACTAATTAATTTATCTTCTAAAATCCAGTTAATTACATTTTACCTGACAAGCTTTGAGTTAATTCCCACTGTTATTATTCAAAAATCTTGCTTTTACTAAAGTTACTTGTACAACTGATCCTACCAACATAAAAGATATGCAGAATCAATTGCATTATTATTCAACACAGAAAAACAAATGGGAATTACCATGCAGCAATTTGGTTTTTTCTTTTTACTTTTTTTTAAAAAGGAAGACTGATTTTGCACCGTGAAATTCTGACCCTATTCTATTCCTCACCTGATCTTTGTCACCCATCATAGGCAATAGCACCGATAGGCACTGACCTGATCCCATCTTTTACAATGTATATGAGGTATATATCATCCCTCGTGATTAGCACAGAATTTTGTTTTAACCAAATCACAAATTTACAAATTATTTTGAAACGCACAAACTATAAGTATAATGGCGTTTTAGAGCATGCCCAAAATAGTATTTGAGTAAAAAAAAAAAAAAAACTAATTCTCAAATGACGTGCTCTTTCTTATATTAAATTTGGTATGTGTTAAATTTAGTGCTAAATTTAGCATTGAGTATAAAATATGTCAAATTTTACCATTTTATTGATATATTTTGAAAGACCATTTTATTGATAGTCAATAATGTATTGACTTTTTCTTTTAATTTTATTTTTAGTAAAAAAAAAAAAATTGTAGTGTCTTCATGCCCCGTCTAGTGTCTATAAAAGAAATTAACTAGTCTCACAATACAATGGTCAACAACCTAAACTTAGGCCTCGTTCACTTCGTGGATTCGAGTTTTCAATTCGAGCTAAGATAAGACATTTTCTGAGAGCTTTTTACTGTAGCAAAAAAAGTTAGATGTGACATTTTCTGAGAACTTTTTACTGTAGAAACCTAAACTGAAAACTTAAATCGATGAAATGAATGAGACCTTATTCTCCATCAATTTACCTTTCTAGTTTCATCAATCCAACACTGGCCCCATTATACCCATCATAGGCTCATTGCTACTTTAAAATTTTTCCGATTGGAATTTTTTTGGTATGGATGTGAGGATTCGAATATTGAGCTGTGAATGAGGGAGACTTAGGCCTCGTTTACTTCGCGAATTCGAGTTTTCAATTTGAGCTGAGATGTGACATTTTCTGAAAGCTTTTCACTGTAGCAGAAAAAGTTAGATGTGACATTTTTGAGAGCTTTTTATTGTATAAATTTAAAACTGAAAACTCAAATTAGTGAAATGAACGATGCCTTAGACATGCGTCCTGACCACTATTCCACCGCGCTGATAATTATTTTTTTAATTATTACAATATTATTATTTTAAATTTATTTAAATTTTGAAATTTACTTTTACAAGTTTTTTTAAGTTACTTTTACAAGTTTTATAATTACCCATTTGAAACATAATTATGTGTTGATTTACACGGTTTAGAGTCAAATATAACATTGATCTTGATGATAGAGATACTCTTAAATTTTTTAGAGAAATTAAAGAACTTTAAAAGTGTACGAGTCTAAGAGGTTGTTCTTTTGTCTAAAAAACTCAAAAAATGACAACTCGAGTTCCAACTTTATTCAAGTTCATGTTCTTTTAAGTTTCAACTTTATTCAACTTTACTCAACTTTATTCAAGTTACAACTTCAACTCAAGTTATAATTCAATTTCAACTCAAAAATTATACTCAAGTTACACTCCAAAAGAACAACCTCTAAAATTTTTAACCTTTGCTATTAATTAATACCATCTTCACTAATATAATATTTAATCAAAAAGATATTAATTAAAAATAAGAAATAAAAATTAAAACTCATACACAATTTAAAGAGAATATTTATCTCTTTTTCTTTAAATTTTACCTTAACATATTAAAAAAAATAAACGGTAAATTGTAATAATTAACCTTTTCAATCAACATGTATAAGTGGGAATCAGGGATAATCTTCTTAACCCACCAACCCTTTTAAAAAAAAAAAACCGACTTTTTCACCGTAATATTTTCAATTGGCCGTCTAATATTATCACGCTATGACTTGACATCGAGGGACAAAGATGCTCTCTGTTAAAAAGAAAGTCAACTTCATCAATACCAACAAAGCATTTAAAAAAAAAAAAATGAAAAAACCATAAGAGTACAGTTAATAAAAAGCTCACACATACGTCTGGTTGCCAAAAAGATCAGATTATGGCTTTTTTGTCCTGGCCCGGGATCAGAGCTAAAACCCAAAGTCAAAATTCATGTTCCAAATAGTAAAACCCTTAAAACTTTTTAATTACTTTTTCATTAAAACACTCTGCTCCAACCCCCTCCTATATTTTTCTTTGATCTTTATAATTCCCTCAAACACGTCCTCCAAAAGCATTAAAAGTAGATCACTTTCAATCTGTATCTAAATACGTCTTTTGAGGAAATGTTTCTGTCATGCCATTAATTTCTCTCTCTTTATATGATCCTCTCTATCCATTTTCTACTCTCTGGTTTGTTTAAACAGTTTGGAGTGATATAAAAAGGAGTGAGAGTTTAGGTAAAGGAGCGAGAGTTTAGGCAAGTCATTCAAAAACCAACCAAACGTCAAAGAGCAAAAGGGGTTTGAAGAGTTTAGTCTCAAAATTATGGATATTAGGTCAAGAAGACTCAGAGAAAGAAGCCAGGATAGGGCAAAAGTGTGCCTGAGGCCAAGAGTCAAACCTATCAAAAAAGTCCAAGTTGTTTATTATCTCTCAAGAAATGGCCATCTTGAGCATCCTCACTACATGGAAGTGTCTCATTTGGCCGATCAACCACTCCGCTTGAGAGGTAATTGTTGGCGGTCAAATTTCGTCTCACAAATCCCCTCGAAAAAAAAACCCCCCATTTGGCAATTTTTCTTATAAGATTATAATTTGCTTGTATTTTGTAAGGACAATGCTGTGCATTTTTACACTTTTTTTTTTTAAATAGATGTCATGGAACGGCTTACTATTCTAAGGGGAAAAGGAATGCCCTCACTCTACTCTTGGTCTTGCAAAAGGTACATTTTTTTTCTTAGTTCAAAACTACTATTAGTTTTTGTGTGTGTGTTTTTTTTCCCCCTTAAATTTGTTGGTGATGTAATTTGTTGAATTTTCAGGAGCTACAAAAATGGTTATGTGTGGAACGACTTGGCTGAAAACGACATAATCTATCCGACTGAAGGAGCTGAATATGTCCTTAAAGGTTCCGAACTAGTTGAAGGCTGTTCTGGTAAGTTCTGAGTTTATAAGTTTAACCCTTCAATTTCCATCAATTTACAAAAACACCCGTCTCTGATTTCACAAACTAAAACCAATTTTTCTCTCATATGATCGAAAAAAGAAAAGTTGCAACAGATTCAAATAAACAATACCAGACAACAACAACAACACGTTCAGGAGCTGAACTTCCGACAAAGACAAAAACCAAAATACGAGGAAGATAGAGATTATGATGAAGGGGAAGAAGAAGAAGTAGAAGAAGAAGAAGAAGAGTACGAACTGGATGAGGATCAGAAAACAAGCTACACAACAAGCTCAACGACACCAAGGTCTCGCTGCTCCAGAGGAGTATCCACAGACGAGCTCGAAGAACCCCAGGCCCAACAAGCCCCGTCCCACAAAGCCCCCTCCGAGCCCAATACTATTCCTCCTCTTCCTCCTGTGAGCCGCCAAAAGGACTTGTCGTCTATGATGACGGCGGATAAAAACAGAGAGAAACAGAGCAACAACCGGTCGAGGAGGATCAACGACGAAAACCTAGATGTCGTTGCGGAATCGGGTCCGGGTCGGAGCTCGGTTTTGCTCCATCTGATCGCATGCGGAAGCTCCGCAGTGGCGAAGGCTAAGAGCACTAGTCATGGGACCAGTAATGGGAATGGAAATGGGGATTTTCTAAGGAAAGGGGTATTGTGTAAGAGTGCTGTGGTGAAAATGGAAGATGAAGAGATGATTAGATTTATGTCGGAGAATCCGAGGTTTGGGAATCCTCAGGCGGAGGAGAAGGAGTACTTTAGTGGGAGTATTGTCGAATCCATGGCTACCGAGGGGAGGGCTGCCGGGGATGCGCCTACGGTGCTCAAGAAGTCCAATTCCTACAATGAGGAAAGGTATGTTTTTTTTTTTAGTGTCGTTTGTTTGGATGGCACAGAACATTGTGGTCATGTGTCGTTTTACAATGATGTGCAAGTTAATTTACATTTTGTTTTTGTTTTTGTTTTTTTTTGTTTTTTTGTTTTTTTGTTTTTGTTTTTTATTTTTGCTTATCGAGGAAAAAATTTAGTACCTGTTTGGAATCATTTTAAAAAACGTTTTTCACGTTTTTTAACAACAAAAAAATAAAAATGCTCTCATAAATGCATTTGGTGCTCTCCACTCTTCTCCGAAACACACCCATTTTCTTTTTAATTTTCATGCATATAATGTTTATTTAATATATTTAATATTATTATTTATTTAATATATTATTATTTTTAAAAATATTACATATTTTTAAAAATTAAACTACTAAACATAATTTTAATTTTTTTTAAACTGAAAATAATTTTAAAATAAAATATTTTTATTTTTATTTTCATATAAAAAATAAAATTATTTTGGAACGAATTTTAAATGCACTCTTAGTTACTAAGGACTTGTTCTTTTAGAGTTTAACTTGAGTATAATTCTTGAGTTGAATTTGAGTTATAACTTGAGTTGAACTTGTAACTTGAGTTTGTGTTTGGTTGTATATATTTGAGTTATGGTTTGAAATAAGAATCTTTTTGAGTTTGTGTTTGAGTGAGTCAAAACTTAAATTTGTATTTAGATAGTATTTTAATAAAAACTCAATGTTGATGAAAAATTTTAATAAGGTATATTGGTTGAGTTTTATTCATCTTTTCGTTGTCAACGCATAGAAAAAAAAATCATTTCAATCAAAATTAAAACGAAAAAGTTATAACATTTTTAAGAATAGAAAAAATACTGTTCATTAATTTGAGTTTGAGTTTTTGAATTCGAGTTGAAGGGGAAACTTGAACTCGAGTTTTAATCCTAAACTTGAGTTTGAACTCGAGTTTAAACTTAAAAGAACATAAATTTAAATAAAATTATAACTCGAGTTGTTTTTTTTTTTAAATTTTTTACTCAAAAGAATAAGTCTTTACTTATTACAAATAAAGATGAGAAAATATTACTACGGCGGAGTCTAGTAAGTATTTATTGGGTTCACTACATTTTTCTACTCTTTTTTCTCAGTGTACCGTTATGTTACAGGCTAAGTACATCTATAGGTCCAGAAAACAGTACTTTTTCCGAGAAAATTATAAAACAATACTTGTTTAACAACTGAATTAGTTTTTTATTTCCAAAACCCAAAAAAAAAAAAAAAAATTAGATTAGCATTAAGGCTGTTCATTTTACCGATTCGAGTTTAGAATTTAAATTTTATTATAATAAAAAAATTTTAAAAATAATCACGTTAATTTTTTTATTACATTAACAAATTTTAATATAAAATCACATCTAAACTTAAATTAAAAATTTTAATTAACAAACTAAACATATGTAATGCTTACCGTTTCTTTACACTATAAAACACTGCTATGGCCTATGTGTTAATTCGATAAAACAAATGACCATTGGAAACCATGTCATGTTAGTTTCTTCTGAAAAGGAAAAGAAAAAAGAAATTAAAAAATTGCTAAAAGCCTTTCCTGCGTCTTAAATTAGTGAAGTACAATGTTTCTTCTTTATTCATCAACTTTGTAACAATATGTCAGTCTGAGCCATAAAATATTTCCACCTTTCAAGTAAGCACTTTGATTACTCCTATAAAAAAGGGGAAAAAAAAAAAGAAAAATTTAATGCCTGGACTAGTGCATAACTAACTTGTCCTGATCAACTTTAAGGAAAAAAATTAAAAAAAATAAAAACTTGTGCTGATCAATAAGCTTTATTGTTGTGGCCTGTGGGTCAGGTGCGCCAAAGCTGGGTTGGAGGAATTAACTGTGGCAGAAGAGAAGAGAGAGATGTCAAAGATGGCAGGAAAGTGCATACCTCGCAAGAGATCTTCTGCATCGTCAAAGCAAGGATAAAAGAAATGACATCTTATTAATTGACCATTTAATTGATTATGGTGGTTGTTGAATATGTAATTATATTGGCACTAATTAGTGGGCTAGCTTTTGGGTTTGCTTATAATTACCCAACTGCTTTACGATGCAAAAGTTGGGTAAAAGAAAGGCTCAAACCTCGAAAGTATTTGTGATGTTGATACATATTCGGATTATGCATGTGACTCCTTCTGTCCACTGGTTTCATTAAAAAGTGAAAAAAAAAAAAAAAATGTCTCCAGTTTTTATTGTTAACTGCTTCTTTGTGATTGCTTTTGGTGGCATATTATTGTCATTATAATTAGAGTAAGGGAGTTTAGAGTATGTTTGGTATGAGTGAGAGATAGAGGGAAGGGGAGGTGTAGAGGGAAAAAGATGGAGAGAGAGGCTCAATCTCTTGTTTGCTTGGAGGGAGAGAGAGAAGGAGAGGACCGGTGGAGGGAGACTTCATCCATCGGGGCCACAAATTTGCATTCTTTCATTAATTAAAGGATTCATGCAATCTTCTCATTAAAAATTTAAAAAGACTTTTATCCTTAAAAAAATTAGTATGAAATTGATAAAAATGACAATATAGTAATTAAACAAACATTCATTGATATATTTTTTTAACTCTACATCTTTCTTATCAAACACATAAAGAATTATTATAATTCTCTTCATCTCTCACATTTTCTATCTCTCTCTATCCCTCACATTTTCCCCTTAAAAAAATTAGTATGAAATTGATAAAAATGACAATATAGTAATTAATCAAACATTCATTGATTCATTTTTTTAACTCTACATTTTTCTTACCAAACACATAAAGAATTACTATAATTCTCTTCATCCCTTACATTCTTTATCTCTCTCCGTCCTTCACATTTTCCATCTCTCTATCTCTCTCCATCCCTCCTACTACAAGCCAGTGTCACAACCTTATTTTTTTGACAACGCGACACGCATAGCACTTTTCCAATGCTAAGGTGACCTTAACTAAGTCCAAAACCTTTGGCAATTGGC